GTGATATTATTTTCTATCAAAACCTTGATATTAAATTTAAATTCCTCTTCTTTAATGAACCAAAACCACTGAACTATCAATTTGGGATTATGAACTTCAATAATACAAATGTCTACAAAGGTTCGATATTCTAGAGTTTTACACTCCTTGGTTAAAAAACTGTGGTAAAAAAAACCTTCTCATGTTGTGTAATTAAATGAAAACGTTTTTTAATAAAGAATTTTTTTTGAAACTTTAAATCAGGAGTAACTTATTAAAAATAATTGTGCATTTTAGAACAAAATTTTTTTTTTTTTTATTTTATAATTTTTTTTGTTTCTTTTTTTTAGGTATGCATTTTATTGAATTGAATCATATTTTAATTCTGCTTTTTGTTCTGCTTGAACAATAGTAAAATACAAAATGTTTTATAAGAGTTTATTTAACGAAAAACTAGTTTTCGTCAATCTATTTTATCCCCAGTTTTCAATTATTCAAACAAACCTAATTTGAAAAGAGCTTCTACACTTCAGCTTAAAAACAAAGCAGATGCTTTAAAAAAAATCAATTTTTCGAAAATTAACTTATAACGTAGAATGTGTAAGAATTGAAAAACACATACGTTAGGGGATGCTGAAATTTGATGTTATCCGATTTACTTATAGATTATCTATAGAATAATAGATAAATTAATTTAGGCGATCAAGTTTAACTATTTACGCTTTCACAACTCCCACGAGAGGGGACATTTTTGAAAACGAAATGGTCTTTAGCTTCCGTAACCTATTTTATATCAAGAGCTTTGCCTATTATTTTAAAACCGAACACGACCATTTATCTCTTTCAACGTTCTTTCTTGCCAATTTTTTTAAACTTTGGATGTTCTCCCTATAAATATTATTTTTTCGTGGTAAAAATTATTTGCAATATAGTATACGAAGGCGAAATAGCTTGAAATAATCATAAAAGCAGAAAAATTTGTGTAGTTACAGTAGCTTAAATTAACGCTCTTTTCCGAAGCTCTGTCGCCAAGGAAAATAAAAAAGCAATAGTACAATACCTTACACTTGAAGCAATGCGATGATTTTCGACTATAGATATAAACTTGCCGTGAAGAATTATGGGGGCTTTAAAACAGACAAGTAACCTAAATATTTTAAAAGTTATTAGGCCTTTTTAAAAATCGCTAATTCGACGACACTTTTCCATCTAGATGAAAATTATCAAAGTCGCTGCCTTATTCTCGGTTTTTGCACATTTTTATGAGCCCAAATAATGAAGCATTGGAGTGATTTTTTTTAAATATTAAAAAATTATACCACAAACACTTTTCATTATAACAAAACTGTGGCTTTTCTCCATATTAACGTTTTGCGCAAAATTCAAAGTAAGCGTAGACAGTGCTGGCTTTAGATAGGCTGAACTTGACCTTTCAGTCATAAGTAACAGTTGCAAACTCATATCAGTTATAAAAAAAGCACATTATTCGCAAAAAAGCATCATTTCATATTACGACGGAGTGTTCGAAAAACAACCTTAAATAATACTGGTATTATTTTTGAAATTTGAATAAATATTTATTAAGCTGTATCAATAATAATGTATTTTAAAGGTTCGTGATTGAATTAATTTAAAAATACAATTGATAAAGGTTAAATAATTTTGTTGATGTTTATAAGTTTATAATTTAATGAAATATCTAAAAGCAAGAAAGATTATTAAACACGGAAAAAAATGAGAAAAACCTCATTCTAACTCCAAATGTGTTTATTTCACTTTTAAAAATAAAGGCTCAGCGATAAATCATAATGAGTAATAATCTACCCAGACCCAAGGTTTAAATAATTTCAGAAAATTCTATTTTTACTCAGAAATGCGTATAATTGAGAAAAAGTGAACATATTAATACAGTAAAATATACTTTTTTTTAAAAATTAATTAGCTTTTTTATTTACTTTTAAATACAGCATAAAAGATGTATACATTTTAATTTTCAGCCCTTTTTTATTTTGTAGGATATTTTTGTAGTGCATTTCTTCATATTTTGCACATGAAACAAACTCCGCTGGACTTGATTAATAAGATATTTATATGCAATAAAACATTTCAAAAGATTACTTGAACAAAACTTAATTAGCTTTCTTAATTTTTTTTTTCATTGCAATTAAAATTTTCCACCATTAGGGTGATTCCAATTATGTTTTCACAAAGACAATCGCTTTTTAAAGCTTATAAACGGAAAAAAAATCTTACAATATTTTTTAAGTGATAAAATTGTACCAAGTGTTGTCCAGTACATTGGACGCTGGATCACGGTGGTAACAAGTTTCCCATAAAAATAATTATCCATACAATTTATATAAAAAATATACGTGTATAAGAAAATATACATTTAAAAATCTTCAATAATGAGATGATAGATGCAAGTTAATATAAACGAAAATGTCAAACAAAATAAAAGTTTTTGTTCATTTTATCATTGATATTTTCATGAATTATTAATTTGTTTCCATGGCAAAGCCCGACATAAACATAGAAAATATTTTACACCCTTAAGTTTTGTAAGCATTTACTTATTGCATTAAACTAAACTCGATTGTTCAACAAAAGTTGACTTGTTTAACATGAAATATTTACTATTAAATATTTTTTACTATCAAATATTAGTTTTTTAACTAAATTTCTATTATACTAAGTAAAAAAAATTCATATTGATCTTATATTTAATACACGGAGAAAAATATTTTGATAAAATGACCGCTCTGTATAGTACATTTCTAGTAAAAAAATAATAAATAAAAACATAATTTTGGTTGGAAAAAACCAAAATATACAGAAAAACTACACCAAAAATATTTATTCAAGTAATTTTTCCGTTCAAATGGTAACGGTTTATCCGAAATTCTGGTTTTCAAAACTATAATTCTTATTAACACTTATTTAGTTAAAAAAAATACAAAAATTAAAAAGAAACTTAACCGAATAAATGGTTATTATGTCATGCTCTAAGGCAGTGGTGCGCAAACTAGGGGTCGCGACCCCTGTGGGGGTCGCCAGAAGTTTTTTGGGGGTCGCCAAATTTTTATGAAATGCATTATCCCTGCATGCTGCATACCATACAGTGTACATATAAAGAGTGAAGCGCCATCACTCACTGTTTAATTGCAATTGGATTTCCGAAATGTCACGAAATATCGAGTCAGAAGTCATAAAACGCATACAAAATTCATCTGTATTTGCTTTACAACTGGACGAGACTACCGATATTACTAAAATGTCACAACTAATTATTTACGTTAGGTTTATTTTTAATGAAGATATAACAGAAACGTTTTTATGTTGCAAAAGTTTGGAAGGAAAAACAACTGGAGAAAAAATATTCGAAGTAATAAATGAATATTTTGAAACAAAGTCCCTTACCTGGGCAAACTGTGTTGCGGTTTGTACTGATGGTGCTGCAGCATTAACAGGTTCGAATAAAGGGCTCAGAGGCTTAATTCAGAAGGTGGCGCCTCATATGGTATTTAATCACTGTATGATTCATCGGCAAGCTCTTGTTGCAAAAGATATGGATGAAGAGTTGCACAACGTATTACAAGACGCTGTTAGTTCAATTAACTACATTAAATGCAACAGCCACAACAGCCGTCTCTTTTCAATACTTTGCAATGAGATGGGCTCAACGTATGAGAAATTACTGTTACACACCGAAGTCAGATGGCTTTCACGTGGGAAAATACTACGACGGATATTTGATTTGAGAAATGAAGTGTACATGTTCTAAATCGAAAAGAAACATAGATTGGCAAGTTATTATATCAATGAAGTTTGGCTAGGGAAGCTGAGCTATTTAGTTGATATTTTCGAAAAACTTAACGACTTAAATTTGAGCTTGCAGAGTGAGAATTCAACTATCATAACTACAGCCAGTAAAATTCAAGCTTTTAAGAATAAGTTTAGTCTCTGGCAAACTGAACTGAATAAAAACAACACCAACATGTTCCCTTGCTTTAACGATTTTATCAAGGAAAATAATATAGATATATTTACATTTAAAAACATCATTTCCAATCACATTGAAAAGTTAAAGAAAAATTTTTCGAGAAGATTCGAGGATTTTCCTGAAAACGATCTTGGTTGGATTCGTGATCCATTTTCCTTTGACATATGCAGTTCAACGCTTCAAATTAGTGAGAAAGAGCAATTGATAGATCTAATTAGTGATTATACTCTTCGAAATCAATTTAAGACTCAGCCTTGCCAAAAATTTTGGCTATCCGTGGAAAAACAATATCCCGTTTTATGCAAGAATGCCATCAGAGTGTTAATACAATTTGCATCAACGTATTTATGTGAAACTGGATTTAGCAAACTAGTTTCAATAAAAACTAAATACCGCTCGCGTTTAAACCCTGAAGATGATATGCGAATTGCAATTAGCAACATACATCCAAACATCGATGAGATAATTAGAAACTTGCAGCCACATACATCTCATTAAAGGGCAATTTACTGATTTTTGTGTTATACAAAAAGTATTTTCTTAAAATTATAAATAAAATTAATATGAGTCAAATATGATGATGTTTTTATTCGATGAAACGAAAGAAATGCTCGAAATATACATCGTATTTGTGAACATTTATCTCTAGGGGTCGCCAAAAATTTTCTCTCTACAAAAGGGGTCGCAGTCGAAAAAAGTTTGCGCACCACTGCTCTAAGGTATCATGATAAAATTATCGAATTTTATCACATAACGCATTTTATTCTATAACTGTTAACGCATTTCGAGCAGCAATAACATAATTATCCTTAACCTGGTCTGATATAATTACTTCATTAAAATTTCTTTTTTAAATTTTGTAATTAAATGCTTTCATTTTGTTTTATTTTACCACCGATAATAAATGGCTATCTATCATTCATAAACTCACAGTGAAGATAAAGTTTGGATTCTTTTATTCTTAAAAATAAATAAATTTAAATATACTTTTAAACTAAATATTATATTTTTTCCGTAGATTAAAAATGAAGGTTCATCAGATGTAGAGCCAGCGGAACTTGAACCAATAAGCTTCTATATGTTGGAATTCGAAGAAAATAAAAGTGCACTTCGTTTTATAGCAACATCACAAGGACATCTAGGTAACTTCATTAAAGTTTATATGTTTAGTTGAAAGCAATAGCTGGTAAATTTGTTTTAAAAAAAGCAAATCGTTAAATGTAAATAATTTTAAATTCACTTCAAAATGTTACTAATTGTTTAAATTGATTTCAGCAATAGGATATAAAAAAAGGGAATCTTTCTAGGGAAACGGAGAGATAAAAATTGAGGGAAGTTGTTTTTACAAAGAACTAACGAAGTATCTTAGCAAAATTTTATCTTTTTACTGCCAATCGATGACAGTTGTTTTGAAATTTTTATTGTAAAAATTATAGGCGTTTAAGCGGTTTATGCAAAACATTTCTAAAAAACATTATCGCATGACTAGCTTAAGATTCGAGAATCTATAAAAGTTTGTCATCTACTGTATTAGATATCACGAAAACTAAACAAATTAAAATTGTAAAAATTCTGACATCATCTGAATCTGATATAAAATAACACCATCTATACAATGATATCAACAAAGTAATAACATCAAATATTACCAACTAAGTAATAGTATCAACTAACACCAACTAAGCAATGATATTAACTAATACCAGCTGAGAAATAATATCAACTAATACCAGCTGAGAAATAGTATAAACTAATACCAACTGAGCAATAATATCAACTAAGGAGATATTTTCGTATCGTGATCTGTCGCTCCAACTACAATCGCCAAGATGCCAAATAAATTTTATACATGCAATTTTTTTTTAAAAAAAGCATGTAGATGTTTTCCCGGGGGTGGTTACAAGTTATACCTTTCTGTGATGTTGTTTTTAGTTTCTCGCTGGGAGCTACCTGGAAATTGCCAAGACTTGGCGATTATTCTGCCACAGATCACGATACGGAAATATCCCCTCAATTAATACCAACTAAGCAATAATATCAAGTAATACCAACTAGGCAATAATATAAAGTAATACCAACTAGGCAATAATATCAAGTAATACCAACTAAGCAATAATATCAAATAATACCAACTAAGCAATAATATCAAGTATTACCAACTAAGCAATACTATCAATTAATACCAACTGAGCAATACTATCAATTAATACCAACTAAGCAATACTATCAATTAATACCAACTAAGCAATAATATCAAGTAATACCAACTAAGCAATAATACCAACTAAGAAAAAATATAAAATAATACCAACTAAGCATGAATATCAACAGAAACGCATACTGTTAAACACAAATATAAAAAAGTTCATATCAAAACTACTTCAGTTGCAATTTTTTGCGCATCCCTATGTTTTCATAATTTTTTTAATTTAAAAAAAATTGTTTTACAGCATCAAGTTTAAGCCAGATATCCAAAGGTAGTTCTAACTTACTGTTGGCTAGTTCCGACACAAACGGAAATGTTATTCTAGATCGATTTATTGTCCAGAACAAAGATCCGACGAGAAGTTTGTGTCAAGACGAACAGAACTCAAACACTACTGTCATGATGTTCCTGGAATAATGATTTCGTGTTGCCACTTTCTGAAAGATTATAATCCCTATTTTATAACAAAATCGCTTCGTATGTTTTGTAGATGAAATTTAAAATTTCACGTCTACATTTTAATGAGCTTGTTCTTTACTAAATGTGTTTATAAATTTTAACTTATTGATTAGTTTTCTAAAAATGTTCAAACGTATGTATTGGTAACACAATTTTAAATTTGGATTGAACAAAGTTTTAAGTATCTTCCATATATTTAAAAAAAAATTATAAATCTTCCGCAAATCTTCCAATTTATAAATCTTCCGCTTTTGGCGTCGACAAAATAGAATTTCTTTTTTGTTTATGCTCGATTTACGTAAAATGTACAGTTGTGATTTAACAACTTAACATTCTTTTTTTTTGTTGAAAAAAGTGATATCTTAACTTGAAAAAGAATACTCTTAATAAGTTTTTCGGAATCATTTTTAACTTATATCAACTGATATCGTACAAACTGTTATAAATAAGATGTGCTAATTATTTATTTTTGCACATTATAATGTTCTAAAAACTTACTTGAACTATAAAAATTGATTTAAAGAAAATTAACGGAATAGGAACCAACTACTACTAAAAATATTCATGTAGTAGAGAAAATATAATTTCAAACAGTGGTGTAAATACTATTTCAAATTTCCTACTTTTTTTAAAAAATAAACAGCTTTTTAGACTTGAAAATTCATTTTATAATTTATTTAAAATGAGATTATTTTCAAATTTATAACTGTTCATTTTACAAGCATTTTTTTCACTTCAATAATTAATCAGTTTTCTATAATATTATAAATAAAATATGCTTACAATGTAAAATATTTTATGTGGTATCGTTTTACAACATAAAACTGAGGTATTGTTGTTGCGAATTATTAATGAACAACTGTATATTACACTGAACATTAATAATAAAAATTATTACTGATAATTGTGTTTCAGTTTGTGAGAGATAACTAATATTTAAAATTACTAATTATATTTAAATTAAGAAATAGAAATGAATTCTTACATTCGGGAAAGAATGAATCAAATGATTAAATTATAGAAAGGAAATACAAATTTAAAAATCATTTTGCTTGAATTTGATTGGAAGTTAATATACTATAGTCAACACAAGAGCTTATTATTTACGAAATCATTTTTCTCCCTGCTATTTGTAGAAAACTCATTCTATTTTGCATTTAAATGTGATTTAATTTTGTAAAAATTTATTAGATCGTAGTGTTGATGACTGAACAACATTTTTGCTTTTATAAATATTCGGGTTTGTACAAAGAGAAACAAAACTGTGATAATCATCTATTGGTAAAGCTATTACATTTAAATGTTGTTGAATTTGTTGTTTATCTAACAATTTGTTTTGTGCCTTTTATGTATTCAGAGTTAGCTATTTTGTCATGTATTTAGTCATTTTATCGTTGAATTTTACGTGTTATGTTAATAAAGTTTTCAGCTGAAGTAAGATTCTGCTTTCGTTTCTTATTGATCACGTGGCTAATTTACAATCCAGTGGCTTTTAACGACTCGCTCCGTTTTTTAAGGATTTTTTTCTTTTGGTTGTAGTTGGCTGGTTCGTAGGCGCAATTATACTGCAAGCTTTTATTTCTATTAAAATTTGTAACCTAAACTAAAAAAAGTCCTAAATTAATTAATTTTTTTTTTTTTTGAAGAAAAGGCTAAACAAAAGAGCGGGACGTTAAACCCCGCTGGATTGGAAAATCGCGACCCAAAAAGCATTTTATTATGTATTTAAAAACTACACAATAAAAAAATATCCAAGGATAATAAATTTACTAATAAATATCCAACTTTAAATTTCGTGGGAAAATATTTAAAGCCCCCAAGCGCATTTGGCATAATGCAATCTTTGAATTGGCCTTAAACTTCAGCAAATTTTAACTCCATATATGAGAACGCTGTGACGCCATCAGTTAAAACTAGTTTAATGGGCTGATAGATTTTGTAGCCATAAAATTTGCAGGAAGAAATAAAGGCAAAGAAAACAAATATTTTCACTGGGAAGCAGACAGCAACTTTAAAAAACCTCTCTTTTGGCGGCATAATTTCAGAACTCATTAATAAAATAATAATAGGAAAATAATAACTCACTATTAGATAATAATGCTCATTAATAAGATAATTTGTAAAATAACTGATTTCTACGTTTTAGCGGTAAAAAGAGCTCTAAAACGTAAACCGTTAAAATGAGTTTTGGTAATTTATAGATTTGTCGTAGACTGAATTGGTGCAAAAAAATGTTTTTCCGACTATGGACAACATATAGCGGCTTCAAATTGTGTAAGAACCGTGTAATTTAAGTGCTCAGTAGCGTTGCTGTTCTTCCAGTAACTTAATGAGTGTCTAGCAGGTATAATGTGTAGATTATCTAGATAGTTTGTAGTTTTTTAGGTAATTCTAGATTTAAGAAATGATTCAATTTTTTGACATCGTAACAGATTATTTTAGTAATCCGCACATTAGCTAGATAATCTGTGTAATAGCTATTTTCTACACTTTAGCGCGGTAACAAATGAGTGTTAAGGATTTAGAGATTTGCCAATTGAGTGAACTGGTGTAAAAACGAGGTTCTTCCATATTTTCCAAAAAACGTTTTATTAAGACACTGATGTCTGCTTCAGATAGTTCAAGCAATATTTTAAGTTACGAATTAAGACACAAGAATTTGCTTTTTGTAAAAACATTCCTTTTATCTCGATAGATTCGAACTTTTGTTCTTCAACATTTAGGTCTTCGGCGCTAATTGGAGAGCCAACAGCTTTCTAGACTAAACTATTGGTCAATAGCTTAGTCTGAAGAGCCTTAATCTAAAACTTTTCTGCTATATATTACAAGTCAAAAATTCTTAGCTATTATTAATTTAAATAATATACACTGTTAAAAAGTGCATTTCACATGAATTTATTTTTGAATAACTGATTTTTATAAATGCATACAAAAGTTTTTTTGATTCGCTTAAATATTTCTAGTGATAAAGTGAACTATTTTACAAAAAGTGATCTTAAATTAAGCAAACCAAACTTTCATTTGGGTATAATATAAAAAAAACACAACTACTTCCACTTAGTAGGAATAACATTTACCATAACGCAATGCNTGTGCCACTATCCACATCTATGCCACTATCCACATAAATCAATTATTAATCAAAAATCGAATATCAATTACTTTTCCTTTTAATGCAATAAAATCTGGCGAGCAGCTATTTAAACGATCAAACACTTCGTTTGTTTATTTGTGGCTTGAAGTTAGGCTCGCAGAAAATGCCGTTCATGGGTTAAATTTAGTAGGAATAACACAACCTGTGACGTAGGCTATAGTATACCCAATTGTTCGTTTGACTTTCCAACCAAAACTGAAACTCCATAGTCTTAAAAATTCTTTTTCCTGGTGGTAGGTAGATACTTTATTTGCGTCGCACTAGAGCTGCGCAATTGGCTATTAGCACTAAATTAAAGCAAAACTTTCCCCTACTACACATGAAAGATTTAAACAGATGTATAGATCAGAATATGCTCTTAAATTTGGCGAAAAGATCAAAAAAATTTCATTTTAAAATATTATACTTTAATTCATAAACACTGAAAACTCTCATTTTACGTAAGCTCAAATGTTAGAGGGTGTACCATGACTAAACTATTGGGGCCATATTTTCTAAATAATAGATATCTGTCGCCTATTTTATAAAAATTAGGTATATCTCTTCAGAAAAAGTACCTTTTGGAACTATTTTCTTATCACAAAATATAGTCTCCGTAAATTAATAGGTATATTTAAAGTTACTCCTTCGAACTATTAATTAACACATTGCAAGTGGGTCACGTTAAAATTGGTTTTTGAAATTTCTGCGATCCATACAAGCTTTTAAAAATTGGCGGCGTCCCGCAGTGGACTGATCGCTAAGACACGGTTCCCAGCAGATCACCGAAGTCAAGCATCACTGGCTTCAGTCAGTGGGCGGGTGGGTGAAAACTTGTGTCAGTCTGCGTAGGGACCGAGGGTGTGCGGTATGGGTCCTCGTTAAACTGTTCTACCGTAAAGTGCTCGACTTCGCGCGCAGGTTGTCGGGATACCGAAGCGGGGGTGCCACCCCCTCCGCAGAGGATCAAAATTGTGATGGCATGTCTTCGGATCATCCTCAGGGATGTTTCCCAGACCGTCGCCAATAGCCCATTGTGCAGCTCTAGTGCGACGTAAATCAACAACAACAACAGCAGCTCTAGTGCGACGTAAATTAACAAGAACAAGATAACAAGAAAAATTGGCGGCAAAACTACTTCGCTTCCACTCTGTTTTTCAAAAAAAATATCCATTCGTGTTTATCACAAACATAAATGATTCAGTATAGACGTGATCAGCACTACAATCGTTCGTCGTGATTTTGCTTAAAATTGAAGTTGTAGCGATAAGTTTGCTCCAACTTTTATGAAATCTTGCCAACCACTTTTTTAAAATTTTAATCTATAGCAGCTGCAATACATTTTTGGCAAAGCATGCAATTTGTTACGATTGCATCTTTATACTTGCAAACACAATAACTTCAAAAGTTGCTTAAGTGTTCCGTTCTTTATGGAGTTTTTTTTTCTACAGCAGGCACTTGAACTTTCGTTCTTCACCTTGGAAGATGTCGGAAGTGTTGCTCATTTAACGTTACCCAGTGGGCACCTGTGAACCTAAGTCACGGAGGCAAGCAACATTACCCACTCTACATTGCCACAGATACCCACTTATAGGGTGAGCCACATTCACTCAATAGAGAACAACACAGAGAGAAACATCCATGTCCTGTGCGGGATTCGAACCCCCTACCATTGGCTTCACAGTCAGACACGCTGACCGCTCGGCCACCTGTCCGGCACCATTCTGTTTCCCATTGATGTTTCCCAGACCGTCGCCAATAGCCCATTGTGCAGCTCTAGTGCGACGTAAATGAACTACAACAACAACATGTTGCGCATTCAATTTTTAAAACACCTTCTTTATAATAAAGGTTGTAGTTCATTTACGTCGCACTAGAGCTGCACAACGGGCTATTGGCGACGGTCTGGGAAACATCCCGGAGGATGATCCGAAAACATGCCATCACAATTTTGATCCTCTGCGGAGGGGATGGCACCCCCGCTTCGGTAGCCCGACGACCTGCGCGCGAAGTCGAGCACTTTACGGTAGCACAGTTTAACGAGGACCAATACCGCACACCCTCGGTCCCTACGCAGACTGATCCAAGTGGTCACCCACCCGCACACTGACCGCAGCCAGTGATGCTTGACTTCGGTGATCTGCTGGGAACCGTGTCTTAGCGATCAGTCCACTGCGGGACTATAATAAAAGGAAATTAGCCAAACTAATGTACTTTTCTAAACAAGAATCAGTTATCATTCGCACAAAATAATAATGGCAACGGCATTTTAAAAAGTCAATTAACACGTCTCCTTTTTACTGAAAAGACCAAGGATAAATTTTTAAACTATATCAAATTTACAGTTAAATAATAAAAGAGCTTGTACTTTAAATTACTTTGGCGTGCTTCCTAACAATATTGTTTCTTTTTACGGCACATTAGAAAACTTCTAAATTGCACTCAGTCACGCACTGACTGCTCTGTTTTTAAAGAAATAACTGAAACTATAATCTCATAGGGATTACTTTTATAACTTGTTTCAGTTTTTGAAACGTATACAAAAAAGTAAACTAATTCTCCTTAATGTGACAGTGGATATAAGCTTGCGTTAAATTTTTGTAGGAATTGCTGAATTAAATGGACTCATTTGAAATAAATAGATAAACAGAAACAAACGAAAGAAGAAGAAAAAAAACACTTTTCACTGTGCACAGTTTTTTCTTCTATTCTTTAGATGTCTTCATCGGACCCTGTCTCATTTTTTTTAAAAGCCTTAGATAAATAGTAACCCAAATACTGTCAGTAAAATCGAATTAGTTCATTTTAATCCAGCGCGAATTATTAGACATGCTATGTTGTTGTAGTTCATTTACGTCGCACTAGAGCTGCACAATAGGCTGTTGGCGTCGGTCTGGGAAACATCCCTGAGGATGATCCGAAGACATGCCATCACAATTTTGATCCTCTGCAGAGGGGATGGCACCCCCCGCTTCGATAGCCCGACAACCTGCACGCGAAGTCGAGCACTTTACGGTAGAACAGTTTAACGAGGACCCATACCGCACACCCTCGGTCCCTACGCAGACTGATCCAAGTGGTCACCCGCCCGCACACTGGCCGCAGCCAGTGATGCTTGACTTCAGAGATCTGCTGGGAGCCGTGTCTTAACAATCAGTCCACTGCGGGACGACATGTTATGTAGACGACAAGAAAAATAAATATGAATAATAATAATAAGAAATTAAAAATGAACTCTATAATTCAAATATAAGTAACAAATATTTAAAAGTTTTTTTCCATTACCTTAGTTGCTAACTATTCATGA